GCTAGGTTGGCCGCAGTTGCTGTGCAGGAGGTTGTTGCTGTCTTACTGGCACATAAGTTTCTGCAAGTTTTCTAGCTTCCTGCTGCTGGATCATTAGATCCAATTCTGCTTCTGGATTACTGTCCAGAGATCTTGGTCTTTGATGGTTAGTACCTGGCGAGACTTAAGTGGATTGCTTATTCCTTGACTGGCTTAACAAGGCTTGCTGTGAAGAGTGTGCCTGTGGTTACACTTCCATATATGGGCTATTTAGGTATGTGCCAGAGGATAGTGTTTGGTTTTTGAGGTTCTCAATCCTTAATAGGGTATCGTTTTTGCCCCTGTGAACAATGTGTTCCCAGCATTATCCTTAGGCCCGGTTCAAACGTCGAACTTTACATGTGCCGAACCAAATACCAATTTGGATTGACCCGAATAATTAAGTTCAGCAGTTGATTCAAACATCAAACCTAATTTAATCGAACTTAACTGCAAAAATAAAAGAGTCACTACTGCAAAGGACGGTTATTGCTGACCAAAATGGCAGAAAAATGTGGGAAAGACAAATTGTGAAAATGAAGAGCTTGCTTTTCTTGCAAGTGCGTAGGGTAGAACTAGTTGAAGAAGGCGATCCAGATGCTATCAGCATTAAACAACCGAAGATGATTTTTGAATTTGGTTTGCCTGATATTATCGCTTATTCCCAAAGGAACATCGCAATTCCCCGTCTAGTTCGTTCCTGTTGTTGGTTTCTTCAAGATTCATTTATTTTGTCACCTGCAGTACGCCACCGAACTGGCTGCTTTCCAACCCGCTACAGTCTCATTGTTTTCAAACAAGGAACACTGCATGCAGAAGTGGTTTATGCACATCAGGCAAGTATATTTCATGCTCTTGAAGCAATAGTAACGCATATCGTCCAGCTCTTCCTGCTTTTTTATTCCAAATGATCAAAACAAGGTGTGTGCACATGACAAACGAAGGAAATGTCCAGATCTCTGGGTAAAATTTATTTATTTAATGTATTTGTAATGTATGTATTAGGTTAGGTACATGAAAAGTTCGACGTCTGAATCGGAGTCGCTCCGTAGTCGAACTGACCGACTGACCATGTCGAACTTAATTCCCAGGTCGACCCAGATAACATCTGTCGAACTTAATTGATTCAAACGTCGATCTCATTATGTACCGGTACTTAACTGGGGCCATTAGGTTTGGCACATGTAAAGTTCAACGTTAAAATGACACCTCAGGCTGTTCTTTATCAAGGGAAGGCTTTCTTCCATTTATGTATACTGTACATAGACTGACAATGAATATGAATATTAAAATAAGGTAAAATAAATCAAAAACATATTCACTTCAATTCGATTGTTAATATGTTATTGTACCCTGGAGAACAGGCATTCTTTTATTTTATGTTTGCCTTAATAGAAAAGCTCGCGGAGGCGAGCGTAAGGCTGTTTCCAGCGCAGCGCTAGCCTACTCGCAAGTGTGTACAAGGAAAGTCTCTTACCTTCATCCTCGCTCCGAGAATTACTTTTCCGATGTCTTGAACCCATAACTTTTGAACTCTGTGGGCTAGATTTTGTACACTCGTTGTCAATTTCAAGCCAGTAAGAAACAAGCAAAACAGCGTGAAGAAATGAGATCGACCAAAGCCTACATAAGGCGTTGGCGGTTAAATAAAACGCGGCTGCCCGAACGACTGAGCATGTTTTCAAGAACGCCGCTGAACTTTGGTCGTGGACGCATAAACGAGAGGTTACTAAGTTCTGTCCTGTTCGCTTTTTCCGTTTGTACGACCTGTATGATAAAGTAAGTAAAGTAAAAGCTTTATTAATGTGTCAATGTATTTAGTTTTCACAACTAATTGGGGACACAACACAACACAACACAACAGAAAAAAATTAAAATTATTTACAAATAAGGAATAATAATAAAAATGTATATACAATTGAAATATGTAGCATGTATAAATTGTACAATAAAACAATGGGTATATAAGAGGTAGTCTTTAAGAATTGCAAAAGTTACAGCAGCTATTGTTGTTGTTTAAGAGTGACGTTAGGCACGGTCTTTTTTCCCCATGTTCTTTTTAAAAGATTCAATTTTCGAGGAGCCTTTCAATTTATTATCTAGTTTCGACCATGTATGAGGTCCTTGATATGATGGCTTCTTCAAATTCCAGTTCTTCCAGGACAGTAAATCCGAAGCCACAGCAAAGAGTGGACATTATGGAAACTATCTTTCCCAACCTAACGCAAAGATCCCTAAAACGACATTTTACCGCATTTTTAACAAGTCAAAGATGCGGTCTGAAGATAATCTAACATGTGCCAGTGAAAACGTGTTGCCAACAAAGATCTAGAGGCGAATGTGTTTGAGCCTCTTCAGAACGGGTTGAATTGTTCGAGACATGCGCAGTTATCCAGTTTCGTAAATGATAATCCAGAAATTTTAGACGCCAGTGGAATTCCTACCTGCTCACGACGTTCTAGTCATCTGGAGTCCAAAGTTCCAACCGGCTTAGGTTCATCTGAGTTTCAACAACCAAATGGTGGTAACGAAGGACTTTACGTTAATGAGACGGATACAACACTGTCAGATGAGGAGTGCGAAATTCTGAAACCAACGAATACAGCTACCGCTAGCATCGCAGATGCAGTTAGGCCGTGGAACTTCCCTGAAGATGATCCTGCTTTATTTGACATAAGGCCTGCAATTACCTTTGCTGCAGATGAAGAAGAATGTTTAGTAATTAGATGACATTTGGAGTGTCGAAGAAGACTCTGAAACCTCGGATAGAAGTGATACAGAATCCGAAAACACAAGCAAAGAAAGTGATACAAGGGGCATGCCATTGTTCGAAGGAGCTCGTTTAACTTTGGATGTGAGCATGCTGCTAGTGATTACTTTTGCCGGCATGCGTCACAGCATCACAGGGGCTGCTTTAGCCGACCTGCTCAGTTCTACTCATTGAAGTTCACCTTATTACACCTAATTGCTTTGGCCATTCCATGAAGTTGCTGCGTGATTTTTTTCAAGAAGCTGAAGAACCCCATTGAGTTCCACTATACTGCTCGTTTTGTGATGAGTACATTCGTGCAAAAAGACACCCGGAACACTGTACAAACAAACATTGCCTGCATGATTTCTCAAAGGAAGGTTCTCTTGCCTACTTTATTGTTGTACCTTTCATTACCCAGTTACAGTCCCTTTTAGCAAATAAGTACTTGCCGAAACCGCTCAAAAATTATAGGTTTTTGAAAAAAGAAAAGTTACACCTTGTATAATCAACAAACATGAGTAATGAATAAAATCTTGTCTGGTTTGCATATTATCGCTACAGCCGCTGAAATCTTTCTGTAATCGTTGCATATTCAAGCATAGTTAATAGAATGAAATAGTTAATTAGCAAGGCCGGTAAACATAAAATAAGCACTGAATAAACAGGCTAAGATTTATGTTAGCTTGACCCCGCACATCTTTTGTTTTATGCTCATACACCATGCACGATTACATAGTCACAATGCTTCTATTGGTTAGTTATATGAGCACACACAACGACCTTTTGTATTTTGCCAGGTTTTGTGCAGGATCAACCACAAAACAGCCCACAAAACATAGGGCAAAAGTTAAAGCTAACAAAGAACTTTGCCAGGTCTACCAACCAATTGATGAAAACCACTGTCCAGTGATGTCAATGATAGCAATTGTTGCGACAACAAGCACTGAAATAGGCGTAGTTCTATCTCAAAGATCATAGCAATAGTATGGAAACTGGTAGTGGCAAAGATTGCTCAACTTTTTCTGTGGCGGTCGCAAGGATTCGATTATATAGGAAAAAATCCTTTATTGACCTTTATTATTCATTATAATATAGATAGGACCCTATGCGCGCGCTCTGATTGGTCAAAAACCCATGTTTTATTTATAAAAAAAAATAGAAAACATGTACCGTGTTTCTATCGAGTTATAGAAACACGAGTGGAAGTTTGGGAGAACGAGAAATGCTGTGGGAACACGAGCCGCAGGCGAGTGTTTCCACAGCTTTTTCGAGTTCTCCCAAGCTTTCAGGAGTGTTTCTATTAAAACTCGTTAGAAGCACGAAGAACATGTTTTCTATTTCTTTTAGAAAA